ATTGATGATCCAAACTTTTTTCATCAAGTGAAGGCTCAAGAAAGTGATTCGGAATTTGGATTTTATAGATGCAAAAACAATAGTGGGTAAATTCAACAGAAAGACAAGTAATAATTCGTAATTCCAACAGTTCACTTGCCAACCTCAATATCAATTCATCCGGTTTGAACCCCATATCTATATATATATGGTTGCAAATTAATTGCTTTTATTTTTTTTGGTACATATCCATTGCTTTTATTTTATTTCAGAGTTCTATCTTTTGTTGCCCGACAATATCTCTGACATATATGATAGTGGCAAACATTTGATTTGGACTCGCCCTGACTGAACCTTGGCTTTGGCCGCCGTTAAAATCACCGTTCTAAATGCCCCCAAAAAATCTAAATCCGCAAACCACGTAAAGTGTAGTTTAGCGGTGTTTTCCTTTTTTTAAATGAAGTAAAACATTTTAGATTTGATTTGTAAGCATATAAATAGGGTAGGTAAAAAAAAATTAAGAGAATTGTTTTATTTTCATTACGATAATTTAATACAACAACAATAATAATAATAATAATAAATAATCAATATACAGTATCTTAAAAAATTTAAGAGAATAGTTTATCTCTATTATGTAATTTAAAATATAAAATTGAAAAATAATTTACTATATTAGAGTTTCTCACCTTGCTAATTTTTTCTAAAACATAAGTAAATTAGTACATATTTGAGAAAATAGAGATTAGAAAAAGAGATTCATAAGGTTAAAAGACATAACTTATAGGAAGTGATCCCCACTAATTAAGAGTCTTAACTACTAAGTCAAAACGTGGAGATCACTTTTTTTTTTTTTTTAATGTTAGTTGCATAATAGAAGGTAACTCTTTTTCATCCATTATCTCACTCTACTTATATATTATGCAACTTGAATTTAAGATTTTTTATTTTTTACGTAAAAAGAATACTACTAAATTATTTAAATCATTGATTAGAAATCACCTTGTTGATTAATTTTAATATATAGAAAGTTACACTTTATCAATCTCTCAATCATCATTTCAGAAGGGTAACTTCTACATATGTATCTTAGTTTGGTGTCTATAAGTTGACCAAAATATACCTACTAGGTGTACAGGAAAAGAAAATTGTGGTGAGCAATTTAGTCTTGTTGGTTGACATGATTAACTGGTAGGGTTAACCCAAATTTTCATATGAAATTTTTAAATACATCATTACAACTAATCTTTGCTATAGAAGTCAACCCTCCTTTACTTTTATGCATATATATGCATATGCACGATATAAAGATATAAATAAATAAACACGCACAAATATATTTACACATTCGAGTTTTTATTATGTACAAAAAAAACCTTTAAAAAAATAACAAAGTAAGTGAAAACAACCGACCAATTGACAATGTTCAAAGCATTTTTCGACTTACTTCATATATAATTGTGTTTTGTAAAGAAGTGGGATCAAAAAGGGGAAGCTAGAATCAGTAGGCAGTTGATCATCATTCATCATCATCAACCAATCCTCAAATGCTCTTTTACACTAATTTCCAAGGCTTTTTTCTTCATTGTCTTTTGAGAACAGTCAAGGCATGTTCTTAATTGGGAAGAAAAAGGAGATTGAGACACATAGACTTTGCCTCAAGGACATTATTTTCCTCCCCATTCTCACAAATATGTTTAATTAATTAATTATTATCTCAACTTTCTGTGACCACAGAGATTAAAAAAGAAAAAGAAAAAAAGAAGAAAACAAAAAGTTTTTCTGTTCATTCAAAGTTTTAGATATGCCGCGTGGCATACATACTGAGCAGCATCGATGATGTAGTCCGCGTGTCCCTGTTCCATTTGCTCCAACATTAGCTATGCCTGCCACTGGGGAACAACCTTAGATTTTTTTTATTAAAAAATTATTGTACAATTCCAATGCTACAACTTAAATTATTAAGTAAGAAATAAACCCATTATATTATAGGTTTCTCCCACTCAAAAATTTTATTTTATAATTTAAATAGTAAAATAAAAATATTTTTTTAATATGTACTTGGATTTAATCTCTCATCATGCAATTTATATATATATATATATAACAATATTAAGAGATTAATTTCTAGTGCATTTTGAATGTGTAAATGACAGGAAACTTGTGATGGTAATAGCCTTCTAATATATTTAGTGGAAGATTCTCTATTTTTCATAAAAACAAAAAGATACATTTAGTGGAAGATAACTTACAACTTTCCTTTTTTTTTTTCTTTCTAGTTATCATTACAATTACAATTATTTTTATACTTCTAACTCATTTAACTTACATGAGATTTTGATTAGAATTTAAAATTTTTTATTTTTATTGAAAGTAAATTAATTCTTTTTAAATCACTTAAATTATTGTCAACTTTTTTTTTATCTATTAAAACTGAAAAATTACAATTTCATGTAACCAAAAAAGAGTAAAATTTCAAATACTGCCAAAAAAATAAATCAAGAAAAAAAATGCAACCCATTGAATTTAGATTTTCATTTCTTGCTATATTAAAAGTGCGGATTGAGAGAAGAGAAATTAGTTTAATGTATATCACCAGCATCAACAAGAACATCCGGCGCTACCTAGCACAACTCTTTCGATCGCCTCGTAGCTGAAATCATCTAGTCAACCAATTTTTGAATTCTAGAATAAAATTAGAGACCTACAGTATTTTTCAATTATTGGACCAAAGCATGAAAGCAAAGGGCAAAGTAGGTTCCTTATTGGTGGTTGCATGTATGTTTTATTAAGTGGAAAAATCTCCCGCAAGAAATATTAAAAAGGTATATGAATTAAATATAAGAAAAATTACTTTACTTATTACTAATTAATTTTAAATTGAATGTAACTATTATATTAAAATTAATATACTTAATTTTTACATTGGTATCAAAATTTAGGCTTCATTTATATGAAACTTGAGATCTCATTATAATTTAAGCTTACACGTAGGGTTTAGCATTTGAAATCGAACCGATGAGTTATTTGAAAATCAAACCGAAAAAAAGAATTTGGTTTAATTTTAATGGTTTTT